CATAGGCATGCCTTTGGGCTTAGCAAGCACTAGAATTCTGTGGTCCCAAAAGTCATCAGCAATATATTCCTATCCATATTGACGTTTACTTTTGTTGTGATCTCTTGAGTGAATAAGCATATTACAAACCATATATTAAATTATAAAACTATACATATGCTTAAGGTTAGTTGATGCATTTTTTATGTTTATTTGTCTCTGTGATTGGTAATTTTCGAGCTAATACACTGTCCTTTCACGCGTGATCATGCTTGCAATGGTGACTGGATTTGGATATGAAATCCTTTAAAATCTGAACTAGGTCTTTTTATCATATAAGCTATAAGGGTGTGGTCCTATATGAACAGGGAATTTTTAAAATGCAAAGCTGTCACAGGGCCTAATAAGTGAGAAACTGAAGCAGAATGATAACATGAAAGCGATAGCCCCTTGCAAAAGCAAGAGACTTTGAAACAAACGTGGCGTGAAGCCGCAAAGCACGTGGTGGTACGTGGTTGAGCAAGAAGAGGAGCATCCTCCCCAGGGAATTTAGTGACAGTGATAAGATTCAGACGATAGTCAATTCTCATCAAATGGATTTGAGGGGGAATAACTTTGTTTTGTCCAGCAGGATAAAGGTGAGTGGTTTTAGCATCTTCTCATATACTCTACATGGAAATCCAGAATTCTAGATAACAATGTTCCTTTGGAATTTTGCTGTCTTGCAACTAGAGAAGGGCACACACTACAGCTATTAGCCCTTCAAACCTTTCTTCTCATGCTAGTTACTTTGTTATTTAAAAAATGGCATGGCAGAAAAGAAGAAAATTCGTAGAAGCAGCGATTCAGGAACCTTGATCAAATCCAAGGCCGCGATTTTTGATGTTGAGAACCTACTGTCTGACCCTTTTTCCTATTACTTGTAGAGATTCATCCACCGACGTTGACATTCTCTCATAGACACTATGCCCTTTGCAAACTTATCAACTCAATACAACCTCTCTGCTAAGAAAGAAAATGATGGAAATTGCGAATATTAATTCAGCAAAAATATATGTATGTACTTGATTGTGCATGTGGGTTATAAAAGAGTCAAGCAAAAACAAGTATTTGGTATTCAAGTTTGAGCTCAAGTCATGCAAATAGAGCTTGAACTTGGTCAAAAGTTGGATGAGTCAAGCTAGAGTTTGACATCGAAAATGGCTTATCTGGAAAACGATCTCAAGTAACTTGCTTTTATCATGTTCAAGTTCCTACTAACAGCCCTAGAAGCATGTAGCTCTGATTGTTAAGAATATTTTGTTTTGGACAATGATTGATAAATCTACCAGTTTAATCATTAACAAACTGATATTTTTAAATTTAAATTTAAGATTGAAATATTTTTAAAAGTAAATTTTAATAATTAAACTGGCGAATGTTGTTAAATATATTAAATCGAAAAGTATATTAATTATTATCTTTTTGTTTTTTTATCTTATTAATTAAAGTTTAATTTTTTGACAAGTCTAAAAGTGATTCCTTATACACTTAAATTAACTCTTGTTTGACCTTTATTTCTTAATTAATCAAGTTTAACCCAAGTATCCTGTGAGCTAATCAATTGATCAATAGCAGCCCTACCTAGTTATGACCTTGGGCAATTGGTTCTTGGTTCTAACTGGGGCCGGTTTATGTATGCAAGATGAAACCAAATATTGATGCTTTAGAGAGAACGTGTCAAATCCTCGTGGTTTACACATGGAAGATTACGTCGAATGCCTTGATATGCATAGAATCTTGATGTTATTACCAGACAAAGAAGGAAAAGGAGATTGCAATCGGTCACATTTCCAATCATTCAAATTGGTGGGTGAAAGTTTCTTGGGAATAATAAAGCGACAGATCGATACCTGCTCCCCTTTAGGTCCATCCAATGTGTGATCTCTTTAGATTTTAAAAAATTTAATGTCTAACTAACAATTTATTGGTTCAAATAGAAAGAATTTAATTTTTTTAAATAAAATTTTAAATTTAAATTTTATAAATAAAAAAACAAGCATTTAAAAAATTTTTTCCTAATAGGATTCGATCCGATTTGATTCTAAATTAATTGAGACATTATTAAATATCAAGAGATTAATAAAAAAAATTCAATGTTAATTCATTTTTCCCTCCAGAAGGGATAAGGCAAAATTGTATGTTAGTGTGGGTTTGGAAAAAATTAATTTATTATATAATTTTAATAAATTTTTATTTAAAATAGATTAAAATTAAAAAAATTATATCAATCCAAACTCTTAAAAAAAAATTAAAGTCT